ATTTCGTTTAAGGTGATGAAGGACTGGTAGAAGTAGAATTTTCCCACAAATGATATGAGCTGAGCTGACGTTTCCATTCAATTTTTACATTGCTTTGCTTTGCCAAAGTGATTCTCATCCAGGCCTAGGTGGACTTCAGTTTCGACCTCGCCTCAACGGATCGCATCAGCACCCCCCTTGGGACTCGAAGTACGAAACTGCAGCGTATGATCTCGACATATTAACCACTACGTGTCATTGCCACGAACTCACTTGGGCCACATGACAGATGTTAATTTCAGGCAAGGGAAGACATTTTCTCATATCTTAGTCTGTGGTGGGATTGTCGATGAAGTAAACTTATACTTGCCACAGCAATATACGACACTACTTATATTTCGTTTTGAGTAGGTTTTCGAGATTGCCAACACTACATCACCTTAAACGGAATAGGGTGAATATAACTAAAAAATAATAAAAACAATGGCCGCAGACGCTGTACGTGATAGGCTGTTCGAGGTCGCAAAACTGTGAGCAAACTGGATCCCTTGTTTCTTATTGTTGACATTGTTTTTGCGAGCGGAAAAGGCCGAGAGACAGTTGCTGTTGTATAGCTTCAGGCGCTGAGAATGCTCCGGTTACGGTCTGTCTCTCTCCTCTACAGGCTTGCTTGAGGCATATTTTCCCGATGTAGCCATGCTTGAAGGAGGAAATGAAATTGTGCATAAAGACACGATGCAGGCGGGGAGATTACCTAAAGTCACCCTGAGAACATGACCTTACTGCGAAGTGAGGTCACACTGACTCGAAATCATATCTTGGCTCCCCAATCGCACATACGAGGCGCATTTATCATGGATTATTCGCTGCATTTGCACGAGCACACGCCTCTCATAAAAAGTATTTAGATATACATATCTATATATATGGACATATAAACATATGTATAGATGGATAGATAATTAAAATAGTTAAGTATTGTTTTCGTGACTACCAGTAAATAAGTAGTACGAGATGTACTCACCCTATTTCGTTAAAGGTGATGAAGGACTGATAGAAGAAGAATTTTACCACAATCAGTCCACCCT